GTATTTTATAAAGTTATCAATAAATCACAAATTTACGTTTAAAAATCTATCAAACACCCGGGCCCGTTATAGAAAAAATCAATCAATCAAATAATGTTGTAATTGAAATTACTTGGAATTTTGAAATTCTAAACCTCGTGCCGTTGGTTCACCTAGGTAAAGTTTTTTGACGATTACTAAGATGACGAGCGAATTCTGGGAAGATGCTGTGTGAAAAACGTCTGGAGACAGTAATTTGACTTTTCTGTCCGAAGACTCCTGGCCACCTAGATTGGCTAGCTGTCCAATGAAAAGCCTTGTCACGGCTATTTTATCTTTACAGCTTGGGTTTATCTGCACTGATTTTGCTGCCGGGTTTGGGACGGATGAAGCGTTTTATTCCAGCTTTCTTCTCAGCTCTCACCAACGTCAATGCCGTCTATGCTGAGAGTCTAAATTCGAAATTAGTGTAAACGGATCTGTGCCTTCCGTGTTTTAGGTTCTTTTAGGGTACTTTTGGCTTAAAGGAGAGGAAGAGGAAGAGGAAGAAGAGGGTTTTAAATATTATGTTGTTTGGTTTTGTTTGAGGGGAAGGGAGAGATTTTTAATGATTATTTTTTTATTTGATTTAGGAGATGAGATGGGAAGGTAATAACTAATTCACTGTTATATCCTTATATATTAGTTTAAATTTTTTTTAATTGTTTTCTATAAGAAATAATTTTACACCTTAATTTAAATTGTAAGATTTCTTAAAAATTCACTCTCATCTTATCATATTGTAAATATATGAATACAAAAAATTAAACAAATAATTATAATGATAACAATTTTTTTATAAAAAATAAATAACTCCCTTAAATATATAATAAAATATGATGAATTCTAATTTTTTTTAAAAAATTCAATGTGGTCAGTTGAGGTTTGATAGTGGAGCACAATCTGATATGAAGAAAAAAAATTTTAACTGTGGATATATTTAAAATATTGACAACATGTTAAGGGCAAGACAGTTAAAAAATTAACCCCCTTTCAAAAAATTTTAATTTGGATGGGAGCAATATAAGGGGAGAGAAGGGGTTATTTTGACTTCCCTCCCTTCAAAACTCTCCGACCAAACACATCTTTAATGTTGCTTTTATTTTAATTATTTTTTTATTTTTTTTATTTTTTGAATGTAATTGAAACTGTTTGTCCTTTTATCCCCCCTCCCCCAAAAAAAGGACTTTAATTGTCAAGGATATAGTGTAAATAAATAATTAAAGAAAGACCAAAAAAATATAATACTCTTCCTATCACAAATTATAAGATATTTTTTGAAGAACATTTAACATTTCAAAATATAAAAATAATGTTTTATTAATGATATTTTTTTAATATCAATATTTTCATTATATTCTCTTTCTTTAATATTTCTTCATAGATTGAATATTAAATAGCGAATATTTTTTAAAATTTTGTTTTTATTTTTTAAATAAAGATGTAAAGTGTACTTAATAAATTTTTTTGATATATGTGATTTTATTTAAAAGTATCTTATAATTTAAAACAGATAAAGTATAATGTTAAAACAGAGTACAAGAGAGTAAATGACTTGTAAACCTCCAACATTGGAATACTTATTTCTTAATAAAGAAATGGTGTCAAGTTTATTTATAAACTATTATTGTTTATTAAAAAAAGTTTTGATGAGTTGGGTCTTAGGGCTCATCTAAACTTGGGCATGCCTCCAACTTTAATAAGCACTTACTACTCTCTTTGTTCTAATTTATTTAGTACTAATTTTTTTGACAAAATTACATATGCTAATGAAGTTTATCAAATTCTGTTTATAATTTTAATTTGTTTATAAATTTTTAAAAATCCCCTTTATTTTTAAGAAATTTTATTTGAGAAATAAAAAAATGAGGGTAATACTGAAATAATTATAATTAATAAAATTTTATTTTTTTATAAACATCTTATATTTTGAGACACTAAATTGCCTACAAGAATCCCTTGAAAATTTGGACTGAGGAAATACTACCAAGATCATGTAACAATGAAGTATCTTAGTAGTGAAATTAACTTGTGTAATTTGATTCAAGTAACCATAAATTATTTTAAACTATCTACACTCACATTTCTTTTCGATTTATTTCCTCAATTTCAATTTATAAAATATTTTTAAATAAAATTATGCATGCTAATAAAGTTAATTAAACAATATTTTATAATTTTATTTTTTAAAATAAGAATGTAAATTTTTAAAAATTCTCTTTATTTAATATAACATTATTTGTTAAACGTTAAATAAAGAAAGAAAATATGGTAAGGAGGAAGGGATAATATTAAAACTAGTATAATTAATAAAACCTTTATTTTTACTAAATTTTATTAAATTTTATGAAACTGAATCACCTCAAAAAATATTTTATAAATTAAAAAGGATGGAGTATTAATTTTAATTACCATTGGATAATAAATAATGCATATTACTGATACCGTCCAACTAAAAAATCGGAGGAGGAGGGGCGACGGTGCAAAGGATGTGTGTGTGTCATGTGACTTATGTGTCAGCAACCTGCACTTGTAGGTACGATTGATAATTAGGCGCAATGCAGAAGTCCTGCTTTTTAATACTATTCCAATCCTGATTTATAAATAAAATTATATTTATTAATAAAATTTATTAAATATATATTTTAAAAAAACAAATACAGTCTTTAAAATTTTCCTTTCATCTAACTCTCAATTTGTGAAAAAGGACATCAAAGAAAGAAAATATAATAAAAAAATTAATATTTTTTATCTAAAGTTATAAGACGTTGTTGAATAAAACCTTACATATTAATAAATTTTATTAAATATATTTAATAATTATATTTTTTTAAATAAAATATAACTTTTAAAGAGTACTTTTAAATTAAAATATTAAAGAAAGAGAAGGATAAAAATTAATTATATAAAAAAAGATAATTTTAAAATAAATATATTGATGTAAAACAGAAAAAGGAAGGTGGGAAAGGGGAGAGAGAGGGAAATGAAGTTGAAAAATAAGAATTAATATTATTGAATATTTAAAACTAAATATAAATAAGAAACACAAGGATTATTTATAAAAGTCTAAAAAAATAAAATAATAATAAATTTAAAAATTAAATCATAATTTAAAAGATAACAATAAAATATTTAGCTAATTTTAATATCTTATTTTATTTAAGATGATATTTAAAGATAAAAATAAATAATAGATTCTAATTTAGATAATATTAAACTCTAGAAACTAAATCAAATCTAATAAACTCTAAGTAATCTAACGAATATTTAATATTTTTATTCAAATAATCCTAAATAAAATCAATTAAATCTCATTCATATTTTATCATATATTTAATAAAATATTAATATTATTAAAATATTTTTTTATTTTGAAATATTGAACCTTTTTTAAAAATATTTTATAATTTAAAATGGGGTAAGTTATTATAAAAACATTATTAATAAAATTTTATTTTGATTAAAATATTTTTTATTTTGAAATATCAATCTCCTTCTTCTCGGATTACAATGATGTGACTATGGAATTAGATAGCGAAAGTGTTTCCAATTGTCTTCCACAGGATAATGCTGAGCTGTCGGTGTGAATATAATGGAGGATAGTACTGAACTGACCATTCAAAAAGCCTCTTTCTTTTGTTTCTTTAATTTCAGTCTGATTAACAGCTCTGGTTACAAATTAAGATCCCGACTTTCTCACCCTTGCGTGGGACCCTCACTCATCATCTCCTCTAATTTCTAATCCTGTCCTTTCCTTTTGGAATTTGAGGAAGTTAAAGAAAAAATATTAGAAGAAAATTTAAGAGGAAACAACAGTGGAAAATATCTTTATTTTCTATTTTTTTCCTGTAATTTTCCCCTCCTTATTTTCTTCTTATTCCAAACAAAACCCTAATGAAGCATAATTTTGAAAAGTTGTAGTTAGAATTTGTGTCATTTAAGTAATTATAACTAATTTTTTTAAATTTTGAAATTTTTTTTATTTTAAATAAAGACAGGAGGGAAAATATGATATTAGGCGTGCCTGTTGATATCCTTGTTTTAGTTTTATTCTTCGCTGCTTTAGTGTTCAGTTTTATTTATTTATTTTTTCTTCTTTGTTGCGAACAAGGCTAGGGAAAATTGCAAAAACCATAAAGAAAAGGACTTATCAAATTTGCAGCATCTTGCTCTTCGTCTTATATCAGATTCCAGAAGACGCGTTGATTTTTATTTTTTATTTTTTTTTAATGTTAAACTATGCTTGAAACTTGTCCGTCAAGAGAATTACACTCCTCACTCAGCTCAACTGTACTTCACAAAGATATGTTGAAATTTTTATATTAACTATATGCTTAGAGACTTGCATACCTTCTATTTATCTTTTCTAATCATTAGATATGAGACTTAAGCACACTTCCAAGAGGCTGGAGCACAATAAAGTTGTCTTCCATTTAATTAGCATACCAAACTAATCAATCAAGGGAAGAAATTGTTTCTTTAAAGACATGATCCATAGAAATTAACTTATTTCTGAGGTGATGTTTCTAATCTCATTCAGAGTAATATTAGTCAAGGGGTGATAATTAATTGTTCTGCGAATGACAGACTCAAAGCCTCCACTAAGCCGGTACAGAGATTGATTGCCTTTCCGCAACACTGAGATTAACCAAATTTTAAATCATCATGAGCGTAACAAAGCTTCAACTCATAAGTAACCACGTAACTTTAGTGTTTTGTAATTTTTTACAAGAAAAATTAATATTTTGGTACTTATACTTCCACTCGTTTATAAGTTTTCTTTGTTGTTGAACCAATCATTCAGCATTGACAAAAAAAATAGCACCAGGGTGACTTTCAGCAGGAGGAATGGCTTTTTTCGTTTACGCCTCTTGTGCATGAAATTATTTTAAAAAGAAAACGAGAAAAGAAGGGGGAGGGGGGCAGGAGATGCTCTGCCAAATGAAAAATCGGAGCTTCATGAGAGAGCAGAGTCATAGGACTGATCATAATGAAAAAGAATCACAATAACGCCAAATTTCTGAAGATTCTACAGATACATAAACATAACTGAACCAACAACAAATGCATGAGTGATTGGCCATGTCTCTCCAACGCGACCATCAATAATACTAATAACATGAACCTCTCAATTCTGAATAACGGCTCAATTAACTGTACCAACAGAATAACGACCCCCCAAAACAATCAGTCAATAATTTCACACTACATCTATTCAATGTCTGATCAATGTCGATCTCTCGGGTCGATATTGATACAGAGTCTCTCTAGGAATCTGTGCATCGTAAGACTCTCGGGAGAGTCAAAAAAAAAAAAAAAAGGATAGCAGGAACCAGAACCAGAACCAGAACCAGAACAGAACAAGGAATCTAGCAAAAGATATGTTTTTTCTTCGGTCGGAAATGTCTCTGTCCTTTCGGGTTCTTCTTCCATTAATTTCTCAGCCCCTGCTTTATTCACGTTCCAAAAATCTAAACTTTCATATCTGATGATGGACCAGCAACCAAACCAGATTGTTATATTATAACCGAACAATTCTCCTAATTCCATATCTATACTGAGATACCATGCGTGGCTTTGGTTTTTCCTTCATCAGAATTTCTCTTTCGGAAAGACAAAACCCTTCAAAAATAGACAATCTTAAAGTGGTCACAATACTGAATTAGACGTTGTTTAATCATTGAAACCAAACTATTACCTATATATATCTGATTGATGATGACTTACACGTCATGTTTATCTGAATTTCAAGATTGAAAGGAACATAGGTCGGTGCTGAAGCCGCGAGGATTAGGAAACTTTTGTCGTGGGTCTTCTGCATCCCAGAACTCACCAACAGCATCCTGAAAATGATGTTATGTCGGAATCAGAAAACATTAAAAGGAAATTAACACTTCCGATGCCATTAATTATCAGTAAAAATCTCTGATTGTTATACCAGGGAAGAGAAGACATTGGATCTCTGTCCTTGAATAAAATCCAAAGGATAGTCATCAGCAAAATGTGTGGCCTGATTGGTACTGCATTGTTGAACGGATGGCAGAGGCGGCGAAGCTACACTGTTTAATCTCTGAATTACATTCAAACATAGAACAGTTTCATTAATCAGACATGTTCAAGTGCTCATGTGAATCACACTGCTGGTGGATTTATTCCTTACATCTGGTGTACCCATGAGAGTGTCTTGGCCCGCTGTGAAGTCTCCGAACATGGGATTTACAGCAGCAAGCTTCAACGTCAAAAACTGCACAAGATAGAAGCATATATAGATTCGAATCAAAGTAGAAGTAAAAGAAGAAACTGGTGATGACAAGTATATATGTATGTGTACACATATATGTATACCTCCACTTGGTTCTGAAGGGACTGAACATAGTTGATGATTTCGTCTAACACGAGCGCTTTTCCAGTTACCTATATATTTGATTAATAACCAAATAAACCCCATGTAGCGGAGAAGAGAGAGATGCATAAATGCTTCGAATATATTATAAAAACTTAGACAGAGATGAACTTTACCTTATCACAACCTGGGACGAGTCGCTGCAACATCCTCATCCTCTCACTTATTTTCTCTCTTCTCACCTATATATGAACGATAAGCAAGCACATGGGCGCTTAAGGAATTTCCATAAGTAACACAAATACAATAATCTCCCTTCAATGACAACGTTAACACAGATCGAAGTGTGTGTTGTTAATGATTTTTAATTACCCTTTCGGCGAGGCTGTGACTATCCGTTGCTTCACCCCTCCTGGCTCTGACATGGATATAGCCTGTTGGGGGCTCTAGTGTAATTTTCTTCTCCTGTTCCTGTTTCTCTCCTGCTTTTGGCTTTTCCTCTTCTCTCACCACACCATTACTATTGCTCTTCTTCTGTTTCTTGTCTCTTCCTTCTGCTCCCTTCTAAAACAAGCAACGATTAAAAGCATGAATCTTTAGTGAAAATCTTCAAAATTATGCAGAAACCACTCACACAGCTCAAATCAAATTACAACATCTCTACCTTCGAAGAACCATTTCTGCAATTCACCCTCTTCTTCTTCTTCGTCTGAGGAGTATGGTCGCCATTTTCAAGCTTAACCTGAGCCATGGGGGTGTCGGGAGGAGTGTGAGTTTTGGTATCAGTAGTAACAGTCATGTCGGAGCTTTGATTATTATCAGTTTCTTCTTCGTTATCGGCAAAGTTTGAAGAAGTCTGGTGAATTGGAGGTAGGTGCTGCTCTTGCTGGGGATAATGATGATGATGAAGAGTGCTGTTACTATTTATAAGAGGCTGGTCTCCGAAAGCTGACGAGACGAACGAGGAAGTGTCAAGGAGGAAAGGAAGGTGGTGGTACTGGTAATGAGAAAAAGCTGCCATGAGAGAGATGGTGAGGAAGCTATCAAGAAAGTGATGGAAAGGAAAGAGAAGAAGGAAGTGGACGAAGATGCAGTGTGGTAGCAGAGCGAGAGAGAGAAAGAGAACTTAGAAAAATAATAGTTGGTCTGTCAGAATTCACAAGTCATAGATGTGGAGAGAAGGAGGATATATATACACACATATATAAGTCCCGCGGGGAGCTTTACAAGTGAGAAGGAGTAGTGCGACCGTGCGAGTGAGTGCTATTTCACCTAATAAGTTAGCATTTGGGGAATTAGCTCTTCCTTTGGACACGTCCCTCACAAGTGGAGTGGTGTAACCAAAAAGTCTTTTAAACTTAATAAATCTTATTTCGTTTGTGAAATTTCTTAATGTGAAGCTTATGACAATATACTCCTTCCATTTTCAAATACAAAAAAATAAAATATTTATAGAACTTAATAAAGTTAATTAACTAAAATAATTATGTCTGAAATTAAAAATTTAGATTAAATTATTCATATAATTTATTAAATAAATTTGTCAAATAAAAATCAACATTGACTTCTGAGGTAGAGTACATTTCAAGAAAAATGTGAGAAATATTTTTTTTAGAATTTATAATTTTATTTATAAATAGGAATAAAAGGCCAAATGATTTTATAAATTTGAAAATGAAGGTAGTGCATGAAAATTAAAGAAGAAGGGGTGGCATAAAAAGCTTGTATGTAGGGGCTCATTAAATGTCATGCAGTGTGTACACTGGCTCTACATAATTGACTGGTCTAATCTCATCTTCTCCGTCCTTCTCTCTCATTATTCTATCAACGCCAGTCATAAATATGCATGCCCAACCTTTTTCAGAGAAATACATATAATAATAGTAATAGTTATTGTTTATCGACCAACTAATTAAAATAAGTGATATAAATGTTCTTGGAAAATTAGGATGAAGAGATGAGGAAATTAATATGGGTAGTGAATATGCAAGTATACGGCTAGAGGAGAGGAAGGGAATGTGGGTTTGGATACATTGACTTTGCTTTGGACGGTGACTTGTACGGGCATTACATACAAATCACTTTTTTTTTTTTGGTGAATCACTTACAAATCACATTTTAGGTGCCTATACAAATCAGTGACAATTATACTTAAATTATAGATATAATATGAAATTTTTTAAATCCATATATTTAACTTATTTTAAAAAAATTACAAGGAAGTTAAATTTCATTAATTCAATCTTTTAAAATTTAACTGTCATTCTTTTTTAAAAGTATTACTAACAAATTTTTGCCTCCTCATTTTCATATTTTTTATTGAATTAATCAACTAAAAAACATTTTTTTGTCCCTTTTATTGAAATCAGCTTTCAGGAAGTTGGCCAAAAAAAATTAGTTTTTTCATATATTCAAAACTTGGCTGCAGAAGCATGAGAGAGTGAATTTCCGGGGGTTGCCTACTGAAATGGACGCAGGGGGTTATTTTATTTTATTTTATTTTTTAACCTGAAACGCCCAGACTAATTCCAATGTCATTTTCCTATAAGCTTCAAAAAAGCACCCTTTATTAATAAGAGGTAGGGAAATAAATTTATTTAAGAAGTAAAATAATAAAATATAATATTATAATAATCAACATTAATAAAAACTTATTTTTGTCAAAATATTTAATATTTCAGTATACTAAACCAATGATATTTAAAATTATCTTATAAATTAGGATGAGAAAAATATATCTGAATTTTGAACTCATTTTCTCTCCCACGTAACCCAAGCTTTAGAACAGTTTGACTGGAAAATGTTGTTCAGACCACGACAAATCATGTTGCATGAAAGTTAATTATTCCACCCTATATAATTAATTAATTAGCTTAAATTCATGTTTAGTCTCCTCTTGTGTCGAGTTATTTTATTTATTCTTAATTTAAAATCAACTTTTTAAAGTTAAGTTTTACTTCCTCACTTTTGGGAGAGATTTATTGTCCCAAAATATACTCTCTTCATTAAAAAATATAAAAATTTTTTAATCAAATCTCACCTCCAATAAAGTAATTACATACTTTCAAACTAATCCTATCTTTTCACATTTACTCCTATTAAATACCCTATAATAACTATAAAGTTACTATCAATAGGGATACTTTAAAAAAAAAGACAATAATTGTACCTCGAAAAATTAAAAATGTCTTATATTTTTAATATTTAACTCCTCAAAAAATATTTTATATTTTTAAATGAAGGGAATAAGATATTTTAAAAATATTAAAATTTTATTAATTAGGCTTATTTTAATATTACTTCTTTTCTCTCTATTTAATATTAATTATGTGTAAATTTAAGATTGTTATGTGAAAGATATTTTTAAAAATTTATATATTTATTTTTAAAAAATAAAATTATTAAGCATATGTAATAAAATTTATTAATATATAAAAAATTATTTAAAAATATTTTATAAATTGAAACGGAGGCTTGTTCTGTCACATTAATTGCGTGTCTCACACAATGCTTTGGTTCCATCATGTCGTTGATCGTTATGTTTTCACTTTTCACTTTTCACAATTGAAGGCAGCAGGACGATGCTCAGAATTCACGGGCTGTCAATTTTGAGTTGGACTGGGAATTAGTAGCAGCCTAAGGCTAAGAATTCTACAACTACAAGTGTACATGTTTTCTCATATGTCATTTTCCCTATTTTCTATGTGAATTTCAATTTAATACAAAGGACTCGTGAAAAGCAGCGGTGGAAGCTCAGGTGTGAGTGACATATGGCTATCAGAATAGTACTTTCCACGCTTAATATACTTTCCCAACCCCACAAGTCTGTGCACTACAAATTCTTACTTTTTTTCTTTTACACTGTACAAGATCATCGTTATTTATATATATAGTATTTAATATCCAATATACTTCCATGATATATTATTAGAAGAATTATATTAAAATTTTATCCAAAAAAAATTAGTTATTATAAAATTTATTGATAACTGAATTAAATATTATTAACAGTATAATCAATTATTAATGACGTTTAATTTGGTTATTAATGAATTTTATAATAATTAATTTTTTATGTAAGATTTAATTGTAATGCTCCTTATATTATTTGAGTCTTGTTTTCAGCAATTATAACCCTCTTTCATTAGAAGTAAGGCCTCGTTTGCTTTGTTGGAATCATTTTGATAGAAATAAAATTGAAAATGAAACTGGAACTAGAAATGAAAAGGGAAGAGGAAAAAGAATTAGATTTAGAAATAAGTTTGGTATGATAGAATAACGGGTGGAAATTTTTTTTAAAGTATATTAATTAAATTAATTTTAAAATGTAAAAAGACAATACTGTCCTTACTCACTTTCACACCATTTTCTCCTCTTCCTCCGTAATTATTGGCAGCGACTTAACACAGAATTTAACAATGAAGACTGTAAAATCATGTAAACTTTTAATCAATCAACAACTTTAAATCACTCAACAAAATCAAGAACTAATATATTAATTCTTAGATCTGGAGATGTTTGATGTATTCTTCTTCTTCTTCTTCAAACCAATCACCAAAGAGGGCCTTAGGTATATTCTTCTTCTTCAAACACCAGACCTTCGAACTTGAACCCAAACCCCCACAGCTTCAATGTTCATAGATCTTATTCTTTGAATCCCAGACCCATGAAACCCAAACCCACAGCTTCTTCCGCAATCTTCTTCTTTGAACCCCAAACCCACTAACCTAACCCCATACCCATATCTCACTTAGCTACAATCACAGTGCTCGCTATAAAAGACAATGGATGATGATGACACTGCGTTGCTAGATCAGGAATAAAGTCAAAGAAGGGTACTGGAAAACTGAAGAACGACGAGTGGGCATTTGGGCCAGGAGAGAGAATTTCCTAGGAAAATAAAATTTTCCTTGGCCATAGGCTTGGAACCCAATTTCCACTCTCTCTGCTGAAATTTAATTCCCAATAAGCTAAATTCTTTGCAACCAAACTAGAGAAGTTTCTCTTTCCTCTTCCTCTTGCTTTTCTTGAGCCCAAGTTCCTATGACGCAAACGAGGCCTAATATTTAAATCATTATCCTATTATGGTGTGAAAGATTCAGAATAGATTTGACTATAGCGCTGCAAATGATTTGTCTTTAACCGAATCTCCAGCCTACATCTAGGGCTTCCACCTCTTGGAATCATGCGTTTGATAACCCACATACTCCCTCTTGCAACCAAACTAGAGAAGTTTCTCTAAAGTTGATAAATGGGCGGGTCTAATTCATATGAGCTCGGCCTTTATAAACCCGACTCTTATAGGCCTAAATCCTAAAGTTTAATTACCCCAATTTGATCCTAAAATTGAAACCCGGCCCTTATTCATAGGGCTCAGTACCGGGCCCGTAAGCCCGGATAAGAATAAAATAAAATAAAATAAAATTCAACATTTAGATTTATTTAGAATATTTTAAAATTTAACATATATCAAACCAAAGTCTCACATAATCTAAAAAATGAATAAAAAATTTAAAAGTCAAAATAAAATGAAGGCAAACATCATCATCAATCTTAATCAAGATCTCCCTCATTATCATCCATAAATAAAATATTAAAACCCTCAGATGTAGGTCCATTTGTGAAAGATGGAGGCAGATGATCAATATTAATTATTTCTGCAGCTTCTTCATCATCACCTACAATAATTATTAATTAAATTGTTTTATTATCAAATATATATCTATACATATATCACAAGATAAAATATAAAAATTACTATAAAATGGTACAAAACAATTCAACCAATTACTGGTACAAAATACAAATCAATGTTTGTACATTATCTGGAAAGAGATGAAAACAATACTTTGTGAATAGTAAAATGAGCTTCACGGGCCACCCGGGCCCGAGCCCGTTTTTCTAGGGCTTAAAAGGGCCGGGTTTTGAAGCCCGGTTATCCTAAAAAATACTAAATTTTTAAATCCGAACCCTTATTAAAACGGGATTAAACGGGCAGCCTGTCAAACCCGACCTTTATTTTCAACTCTAAGTTTCTCTTTCCTCTTCTTCTTGCTTTTTTTGAGCCCAAGTTCCTATGACGCAAACGAGGCCTAATGTTTAAATCATTATCCTATTATGGTGTGAAAGATTCAGAATAGATTTGACTATAGCGCTGCAAATGATTTGTCTTT